CTGACTAAAAACCATCCCGTTCCTACTCCTGCTCTTCAAGCCGGAGCCTTGGCAACCCGTTAGGCCTTCCGCGGCTCCGTATCAGGCATAAGCGCTACTGGGTCCCATCTATGGTGGTCTAATAGCTCTTTGAAGCCCGTGCGAAATGCGACGCGCTGTAGGTACGCACGGGTTTGGTTCTGGTCGGGCTGCGAGCTACCCTTGCTCACCGTCGGCAGACCCACACTTACGGTATTGCATAACCACCTACCGGTGGAGTGGAGAGCCGCCAACGGCAACCGTATGTTGTGGCGCTACATCGCAAGCGCGACAAAGTAAGAAACCTCAGACGCTTGTATGGTAACTATCAGAGATATATTCATTTATTATATCTATGATATCTCCTATTTTGGTAACAATTGTCGCATCATCGTGTAATTGATATTAACTCGTCGAGTACCGGTTTTATAGACACAATTAAAGAACAATAGGTCGCGGTCACCGGTGACCGCTTGGTGTTTGACAGTTTAATCTAGAGTATATAGTCGATCTGTAATCGTTGTACTGAAAACATGAAGTGCAATGTGTTAATTAAATAACATCATAAATTCGGTATTTAGTTGACGAGCATCCGACTTGGATGCTAATATCACCCTAATAACTATCGTGTCTACTACGCCACGTCCGTAGTCACACAATGCTGCTTATAAGTATGGGCCCCTAGCTTGCATGAAACTAATCGAGTTACTTCCTCAATTCCTCTGCAACTAATCTAATTGAAATTTTAAACTGAGAATAATTAGCTACTTAGCTTTAATAGGAAATTCATCAAGACAAAATGGTAGATATAAAATAGTATTTTAATAAACAGTTGAAGTAGTAAGAATATAGTACATTATTGAGTAGATCACGTCTCACCTAGATATCTCGACCTTATAGAAGGCGAACGGCTTTGCTAAATATATCGGACAATGCACAATATGGTATAGTACTTAGATATATTATATCGTTTGTCTTTAAATGCGGAACTGATGCTAGTTGTCATGTTCTTTATTCTTCGATATTTATTGTCGTTAGTCATTAACATCATCATCACATTACCTATGAGGTAATAGTAGGAATGTCAGCGTAACTATAACCCTCAAGCTATCTACTGAGAGATATGAAGGTCACACGAATCTTTACCTATTATAAATTGCCTGATTTGGCTGTCGAAAATCAACTAGAAATCTTAATTTCACCTACCATACCTAGCTTCACCTAGTTTCACTGACGGACTGACTGACAGACTATTATTTAACTATTTTGTATTTGTTGACATTGCAAAAATACCAAACTATGGTTTAATTGAAATAAATGATTTGACTTTGACTTTAATATAACCATACCCTTTGATTGACTGTACGGTCGACGTGCAATGTGTAGCGGGTTCATTTCCCGCACAAATTTTTGTTTCTGTACTTTAATGTCATGTGCATGTAAAATTGTATGTTTCTAAATGCACCCACGACACATGAGAAAATCCTAGTGTAATAAATAAAATAACCCTTCTTACATAGGTCTAGTAACATCACTGGCGACGGTTTGGGAAAAAATGGGAATTACATTTCAAAAGAACATTATTTAACTCTTCAGAAGTTCTCTCTCTCATTGAGAGGCTTATAAATACTATATTAGACTTAATAAAAGCTTGCAAGAAGTTTCCAAAGATCGCAAATATAATCAACTATATAACCTACACGTGTGTAATTTGACATTCATGAAACTGGCACGTGAGTTGTAAATACACGGGTACATGTGCCCCGTGGTATACTGGTATATAACGTGGTAAGCGAACGTTAATGTCAATTATAGAGTTTCATGACCTTTGGCAACTGCGCTGACCGCGGTCGCATCACGGTTGGGATAAATTAATATAGAAGACACTTAAAAACCATCAAATAACTCTTTCGGGTTATAGAATGCAGATCGCTTCACGTATAAAATGTGACAATCGGCCAATCTCGTCCGAACTCGCGGCCGGACTTCTAACCCAAAAGTTATTAGGACGCCAGGAGACAAGAAAATAAATAGTAGTACCGTTATTCTATATTCCGTGGTTATTACCAACCGAAACGCATGCACTGCTGAACGAGGGCTTCCCTCACAGGCTGGACTGGGGATTATGGACAACACTCTTAGATTACTAATCCGCAGCCTGTTGCTTGACAGCGAGGACAGGAGGTTGGAGGATCACATCAGTTAGATTTAGACCACCGCATCAGTATATGCTGCTATCTGTGGTTCTCGTTGCTCGTAGTTTTAGAATATACCCAGGAACATAAATAACTATTTTACAGAATTTGAGTTATTACTGCGAATTTTTCGTAAAAGGACTGAATATTGTATTACCTAGTAAGGGATATGCTTTTGACCGCCGAGTAAGGGATATTGGGTATTGGGTTTCATATTCGAGACCACATTATGAAGAGTGTGGGATCCTTAGGTGAGGCAAAAATCGCGTCCTTTATTAAGTAGGCTTCATAATGTAAGTGGCGAAACGTGTGTGTTAGGTACATGTAATAAGAAAACCTCGGTCCTCCCTCTTCAGGGAATAAATGCCGTGACTGTAGGTTGTTTACTCATAAACAGAAAGCAACAAGTAACAAAGTACATACGATTCAATAACAAGGACAATTTAGAAAATACTTTTCCTGACAAAAAGAAAAATCAAAGGGGACAGTTATTTAACAAAATTTGGTAGATACTACCGCATTACAACATAATTATCGGACTAAGAAGAAACAAAAAAACTAGTCGAAGAACCATCATGAAAATTGGTCTTTTGGTACAAAAATATTTAATGCATATTTAAGTAGATTGGTATGTACGTATTTTCGTAGTTTGTGGCCTGAAAGAAAATTTTATTTACTTAGGTTGGAGGTCCAAGTAATAAACAATTTCGAATCAAAATAGATTTGATCGTAGGTCCTACCTACCCAAAAACTAGAGAAAAAATTGGTTAAAAACTGAAAAGTTTTATTGGGTCGTTATCGGATCAAATTCTATAAGGCTTTTAGGTATTACGCAGTAGGAAAAATAAAGTGCTACTTTGTAATGTGTACTTAACTAATAAGCAAAAATGTGTTATATTTCAACTAGCTTAGAACTGATAGTTTCTATTTATTTACGACGTTTTGTAAATTAGAACTGTTAATGCTTTAGGAAAACTTTTTTGTTTGCATTTTCAATTTTATAAATGGTGCGATGTGTTATAAAGACCAAATGCTGGGATACGTATTTCCAAGTTAAGTAGGTAGGTAATAAATATGACGTGAAACTTTCAAGTCTGTACCATCAATTATTATAATTTAACATTGCACAAAAATTTACGATAACAATTAGTAAATCTCTAATGAATAATAAATAATTAATTACTATAATTAAAACACTTACCTCAGTGGATGATATCAAAACTGTTTAGTCCAATTAGAATTAACACAAAACAACAGTGCACATTTTCTTTAAAAAAAGAAAAGAGCGGGAAATAATTAAAGTTCGGCGCACTTCCAAGTTCAAGCCGACATGATGCACAAAACCACTTTTTTCTTACAAGTTTTTATAGTTTATACACTCGATACCACTGAAGTATTGCGCGTGTAACCACAAGGATTGAATAAACGACAGTGCGTAAACAATATCGTGTTATGAATGCGGTTCTGGCGCGAACGTCCGAGGTTATTATCAAAGGCTATTGAACGGAGACAGTAATGTCAAATGTTGACGTTAACGCCATCTCTGAATTGTTTCATGAAGTAACTTGTTTGTTCAAAGCTACGTTTGTTGAACTTAGAATTCTACAAAGTCAAATGCGTTGTTGAAATTATTAAAATGTTTGCTCAAACGATAATAATTATAGTGTCAGTTATAGAAAACAACGTTCATTCACACGAGAGCAATGTCTCTTTGACGTGTTTCGTGTAAATTTTAAATTAGTGTAGTACATAATGGTGTCACGTAATGGTATAAACAAAGACCCACAGAACTTGTAAAAGATGAATATTAATATGAATGTGAACATGAAACAAAACTATTAACAATTGGTCATCAATCTACCTGTAATTTGCCTCTAACAATATTACAAATAGAGGTTTTTACACTATAAGACACTGTAGGTACCTATCATTAACCAACCTACCTGTCATGCATGGAGATTTTGTACTCTCTTATACCTATGCAAACGAGGCATAATCTGGCAATGCACAAAATGGACATGCCAAGAGTGGTGATATTGATGTTGTATACTAAATCAAACCATAATATGAATAGAGGACAAAGTACAGCCTGGCAAAAAAGAGCATGGGATAATAGGGTAGACTACTAATTTTTATTTTAATGTCCGTCTGGTAGATTATTTAAAAACATTAGACACGTATTTTTTCTTTTCTCACAGAAACGAATAGTTTCGAAGATATATTGATTTGAAATGTCGCGTGACGTCACTTCTCAGTACATTTTATACTAAGAAATGACGTTTTAACCCCCACTCCTAAACTTTGATTCGTTTTATCTAAGTATTGTTTTATTATACGACAAAATAAAAAAATACGTGTCTAATATTTTTTCATTACCTAACTTACGGACTAATTATATTTTTAATTTTCATACCCTGTCATCATCCCCATTGGGGTGGCTAGTATTATACCTGTGCCAGCCTACACTAAGACCCAGCTGGTTTGGGTACCTGATATTTCATCAAGTTCAAAAGAGGAGGTACTATGTACAGATGATTTATTATTAATGAGATATGGCCTGACGTGGGTGATTCAGTTCAAAACATAATTAGTTCCAAATGTGTCAAAATCTTTTTTACCAAGCTGCACAAACAATAAAAACATTCATGAAAATCTTATCATTTATTTATTTCAGTACATTTCAATACACCACCATACAAAACAGATGCATTAAAATACCGGTAGCTTAAGATTAAAATATTTGGAGAACACTGGAATTTACACCAAAGGCATTCTATTTAAGGTTGATTACTTGCCGGCAGCGGTGGCTAATGGGTTTCTTAATACTAGGATCACTGAGTCTCCGCGGAGGAACATCTTTGAGATAAATCTATCCTTGTTGACTGCTTTACCCTGGAAAAAAAATTATAAGTATTACAAATATAAACTCTTTAGCTTGGGTGATACATGATATTATGTGTGTCGTTTAACCATTTGAATGCACTGATGTGAGACACAATAGAAAATACATTTTGTTTCGCTTGGATCCACATTTAGACACACAACGGGTTAATGGGACTCATAACATAAATAGTGAAAAGTGGGTGTTACATTGTACAGTGGCATTAACTGGCTTAAAGTGCACCTCTACCTACCGCTTCAGGGACAAAAGGCATGATGTTTTAAAACTCTTAAATAATAATTATAAGTAAAACGAATTCTAATGCAAAATATGTTTAGACACTAAGGCTAGATACAAGAATGCATTTTCGTCTTGCATATTTGCAGTCAGAGATAAAAAGGTGTTATGTTATTTATGTTTATGCCATATATTAGAAATAAAAGCAGACGCACTTACTGCAATACTCAGAGCCATTTAATGATTACTTAAACTATTCCTTAGTAATGATTTTATCCGCAAAACAATTGCTAAGGACTGGGTTAAGTAGCCATTAAATGACTCTGAGTACAGCGGTTACGTATACAGTACAAACTGTTAACAACATAAAGCAGAAATAGAAAATCAATTGAAGAGCTGTTATGGTGAAATCACAGAAAGACTGTACAATCATTTTCAACAACACAGCTAGGAAGTAGAACACAATAATATAGTAAATACTTAAACATTACAAACATAATATATTTTAACCTTTTGTGTCTAAAACGCAGATGGCCAGAGTGTAGCTTGCTCCACTCCAACCCTGTATTTATTATACTATATGATCAACAGGTAGACAAAACTAATTTACTGGAAATTGTTTATAACTTACAAACTTTGTAAGCAACTACTACTTTTCACTTATTGTTTTCCAATATGTAAAATTAAACAAAACTTTACTGTCTATCTACACATATTATTATATATCTAGTAAAACCTAAATTCATTTCAGACTGATTACTTCTAGTATTCACATAGATAACCTCCAAATCTTTAGATAAAACAATGTAATAGAGTTTGATTGTGAATAAAGCCTGTATATAGCAGTTAATACATAGGATTATTTACCTTCTTGCCTTTGCCCAGCCTTGGTACTTCAGTCCACATTTCCTTGACGTTTTCAAGTACCATGTTGCAATGCCGGTCGAAAGCCTTGACGCGTCCAAGCAACTTTTTGTTATTACGGCAGTTGATAAGAACTTGTGTGTTGTTCTTTACAGATTGTGTGAGTACTGAAAGAGGCCCTGTACTGAATTCTTCTTCTTCAATCTTCGCTAATTCTTCTAAAGTCATCTCTGAGCGTGGTTTAGATGTTGTCGCCCTAAAACAGTCGTTATACGTAAATAAGCGGTTGGTAAGAGAAAAATTAAGTGCTCTACGGTTGTTGAATGTTATACTTACATTTTTGAACGTTATTTATAACTAGATTTCAAGAAATTTCAAGAAAACGGCGCTGAAATTGCAAACAATTACAATTCACACACAAATTGACAATTTGACAAAACACGCTTGGCAACTTTTTCTAGTATTTGTCAAGTCGACTTGAGTAGAGGGCTTTTAGGGTCAGTGGAGGCATTACCAGTTTGTAAAACAGTTTGATAAAAACCTCTTTACTAAATGCATTGACTATTAATTTTATGAAAAAGTAATTTTATTAAAGTCGGGTCAATAAATAAAAAGTGATATTTATATTTACATGACTGCTTGGTTGGTGGCAGAGGACCCGGCTGACGCACAATGTGTAGCTGTAGCGGGTTCCGCGGGTTCGATTCCGCCGCAGGAAGCAAATCTTTGTATAATCTACTTTTTGTTTCGGGTCTGGGTGTGTGAACTTGTATGTTTGTAAACGCACAGTAGAAAATTCTAGTACAGGGCAAAGTTTTTTTTATAACTGATTTTATCAAACATTAGGTATATTTCGTTGGTCCAGCGAATACAAGAGCAAATATTGAATAATCCATGGCAGATATGATTGTCAAGCCGGGCTTATTGGAATTTTTTGATATTACAAAACTCATAGTAGGTAATAACATGATTCCTGGAATTCTGTCGATTGTGATGTTATTGTCGCATTTCTTTGCATGAACCCTTCTGGGCGTAAGAAGGATCGTGGCAAGCGGGATTAACAACTTGATTTTTCTACATGGACCCTAAGAAAACCGAAGTAATGTCTTTATAATATTCTCAGAAGATAAACATTTATATAATTGATTTAAACTAAAGCAAAATAAAACAACAAAAATTCGTGAAATATTTTATTTATCTTTTTTTCTGTAATAATAAGAAAAATGAAGTATTCAACTAGCTTTTAGTAACTAATTTCGATATAATAATTCAATATACTTATAATTCACAGTCTTGGAATAAAAATAAAGGCTAAATTTTAATAATAGACATTGCCATTTTCATTCAACATTTTTTTCACTTGCAACACATTACGTAAAGTTTTTTTTTGAGGAACAAGCAAAGAATACAGGCTGCGTACCGGGACCACCCATACATAAATTTCTTTGGTTATATTTACAAATATTTATGTACTTCACATACAAAACTTAAATTATCACAACTACAATAAAATAGCTACACACTTGCAATGTAAAAAGAAAAAGTAATACACAAAGTTCTTTGAAAAAAACTATTTTTACAAAATAATACATAAAAACCAGTACGCAAATAACATAGTTGCAATTTTAAATGCAAGACTTTTGTAATGTAACAGATGGTAGAGGCTCAAGAAGTAATTCTTAAAATGGCAACATTTTTCAAGCGATTTTAAATCTCATTGCTTTTTTATTAAAATCTATAAATATTGACACTTTATGAAATCTTGTTGGGCCGTCATCTGTACATACCTCTAAAGGTTCCTTAGAAAAAAATAAATACAATTCTCCTATTGTCATTTTGATCCTTCATCCTCCTATTTCAATAAGTCGGAAAATCAACCATACGGTAAAAAATATTACAATCAGTAGGTACATGAATTTTTGAACCATAAAAAAATACAATGTTCAATATTTCTGTTTCGTTATGTTAATAAAAATGGACAACAGTTTCCAATATTTAACGGAACTAATACTTTAAATTAATCATGTCGAAAAATATCTTTGATTCACTGATCCCAGAGAAGCTAATGAATGGAGTTCTTGGAATTCTTTTCATGAAAAACTTACTTTTTCTACACAATATTATCAATGACACAAGGCTCATAATCTTAATACCTGTGCCACACCTGTGACCTGTGCCAATTGGTTGTTTACGAAAAAATCTACAAGCTGCCTCATTGGTCAATTATTATTGAGTTGCCAATCAACATTATTCATGTGCAGGACAAATTACTTTATTATACTTTTGTTAACTCTGATCCATTACCAACTCCGTGATTTACAATTATTCATTAATGCATAACATGCCAACAAAACTATTGCTTAAATATTCATATATATGTATTTATAACAATAATAGACATTATAAATGAGGTTTACTTCGCGATATCCAGCACCATATATTTTGTACCAAGCTGTGGCAGTGTTTACGACTATGGACGAATATTATGCATCTATTTATAGTTATTGCATTATTCTGATTAAAGCATGTTGTTTATTAGGACGTGTGCAGTTTGCATACTTTTTTGTCAAAGGATTAGTTTTACATAGCAACTGGCTACATTCCCCGAAAAAAAAATGTAAAATTTATTTTTGTTATACACACTCAATCAAAGTCCGCAAACCAATTTTTAGCTCTATATCTAGAAAATTGCGGATTACTCAATACAAACTTCATTCCCTATTTCAGGGAAGTAAGTTTAAGTAAACTATTAAGACATATATGCCTTTATAGCTCACTAGCGCCAAACGATGCCTTTTGAAGCTTTCGATTTAGAATACAAAAACAGAATTCAAAATTATTTTTCAATTAATCACTGTAATATAAAATCAGTTAATCCTTTGCAACTGCACACGACCAATCACAAATATACGAAACCATTTTGTTTTTAACATTACAAAAATATGCTCATATTATATTTATTATCTGTAAGCATGTATGTTCTGTAGCACCATTGACATTAAAGTGGATGAGAACGGATTTGTATAAATTATTTAATCATTTATTGTATCTGTAAAGCATTAACACTCAATCTAACTAGACTTGCCTTTACATGTAGCCGTCTAAATAGATGCGAGTGAAAGGTTTCTGGAATTGTAATTATTACATATTTATTTATATAATAAAGATTTTTATAGGATAAGCCGGTAAACGAGCAGACGGATCACCTGATGGTAAGCAATCGGTGCCCCCCATGGACACCTGGATCACCAGAGGCGTTACAAGTGCGTTACCGGCCTTTTGGAATTATGGAATTTGATGATTGTTGGGGATTTAGGGATTGGAGCTTCCGGTAACCTCACTCACACGACGAAACAAAACGTAAGCGTTGTTTCACGTTGGTCTTCTGTGAGGCCATGGTATCAGTCCGGTCGAGCCAGCCCATTCGTGCCGAAGCATAGCTCTCCCACACTTAAGATCGCTCTGAGAATATTCGACAAGGACGCTCAACTACTTTCAATTCAAGACGGGGTTCGTAATTACTTGTCTTTTCAACTATTTTCTATTTAGACGGCAACATAAAAATATAGTAAAGGCACTAATTCTCTATAAATCTCAAACACATATAGTCTTTATAAAAATACGAATTAAGCATTATGTACCATATAAGACACTTTTCATTTATAATTACTAACTTTAAGGAAAATATCTAGCCTAGTAATATTTACAGAGATCTCTTAGTTATTAATTAATCGTTTGGAGTTTTAACACAATAATGACAGTTGGAACTGTAACAACAATAATAATTTTCAGTGAGCATTTACTTTTTATTACAAAATATTTCTATTATTGCTATCAAATACAGGACCCAAACCCGACAGTGGTGCCATCTGACCGATACAAAATAATAGCATGTCGTTGATGATTGTTAGAACAAACTAAATGATAATAATATCTAGTCGATACAGTTCCAAAGTTCACTGTTGTGCTGTAAACCAACGATTATATATGTTTGTAAGTAAAATACATACAAATACTTTGAAATATACTCTACATATTATATGTACAGGATACTTCTAACCGTCAAAAATTGCGTTTCATTATTATAAAAATTATGAACACTTTAGTTTTATGCCTATGTTCGTAAGCTGCATAAGTATTAAAATATAATTTCTTTCGTTCGTTCTCGTTATTTTCTAAACCCAAGTTTCTTGTCACATTTTGAACATTTCTTGCGCAATTTGTTTCCATATTCCTAAATATAAGTTGTAATTGAATATAGCTCAGAATATAAGTGTAAAAAGAAGTTAATTGTTGACTTAGGTAATTACTTTTCAGCCATATTTATTCACAACTTCAAGCATCCAAAACTAATAAACGATTTACCAAATACCAAAATTCAATTCAATATCCTCTCAATACGATTTCGCTAATCACATAAAATGCTTCGTAAAAATCAGATCCTTCCATACTCACTTCCAACATGTCTCGCGCTAATGGCCATAAATATATTTACAGACTAGATAACTCAATTAAATTACTCGCCATTTGTAAATTATTTTTTTGCTACGGCAACCTCTTTGCCCAACGACTTTCTATTTTCGAATTTCTGCTGTAAACTGGCAACATTCGATGGTTTTGCCGTTAATTTTGTTTGATTGGGTTTATTATCTGTCCTTTGGACGGCTGTGGTTGGTTTGGGGACTACTTTAGGTTTATTTTTGTTTAAATTGTCTGCTATAGCTTTGACAGAGTCTACTTTAGAAATGGCACGGTTGGTGGACGGTGTTTTATTATCTGTTTTGTTTAAATTAGAGTTAGAGTTTACTGGTTTAAGTGGTGGCGTGACTTTGTTCGCTTTTTTCGGTTCTGCGGGCGCTGGTCTTAAAGGCGGCCGGTTGTCATTCGGCTTCGCAGTAACCACCGGTTTGTTCATCACTTTAGTCGTATCGTTTGGTAGTTTATTGTTATTTATAACGTCTGGAGGTTTCACGTTCTTCGTGTCTGGTACTGTACAGCTCGAAACCAGATCCGGACTGTTCGATAATTTTGGATTTAAGTTTATATTTTTAGTTACTTTTGGTGATTGAGGCACGTTTCTGAAGGTGGACGTGTTTTTGAGGGCTGGTGGCGTCACCTGTCTTGAGAAAGTTGGGATTTTAGAGTTCGGCCCTGGTAGAGGTGGGGCCTTATCTTCTTCTTTTGGTTCGTCTTTCTTTAAGTAAGTAGGTACGTTGACAGCAGAAGGATGTAAGTATCCACTGCTGGTAGTCGACACATTAGATTTGGCTCCGGAATTGCTATAAACACTCTCAGGTGTTTTATAATGCTCTGAATTCATATACGTACTATCTCTATTTGCTTCTTTATTCGCTGCTGCTTCTCTAGCCTTCCTTTCCTTCTCTTTCTTTCTAGAAAGAGTTGACGCAGAGTATATAGATTCAAAGTTACGATTTTGTATTTCGTTAACTATCTCTCCGAGTAAGCCCATGCTTTCTGTGCTTCCAGAATTGGACGGGATCACTTTGGGAGTATTGTAGCCTTCGGGAGGAGCTTGAGGAATGGTTTTTATTGGTGGAGGTACTCCTGGAAGAGGCTTCGAGTGTTTCTCTGGACTCTCCTCAATAACTGCGTAGATATTGTCAGGTGATTCTTCTACTATATGGGCTAAAGGTGCCTGTTTTTCTTCAATACAGTCAACATAGTCGGTTGACTTAATTTCTGGCTGCGGTTTTGGATTCGGTGGCGGTACGGGCTCAGAATTATTTGGTAATGGAGGAGGTGGCGCTGTCGGTCTTCCAACTACAGATAAAGGCCTTGGAGCGACTGGTGCCTGTCTCATAGAACCAAAGCTTTGTAGAACCGGTTTCTGACTTGCTGGAGCCCTCATACTCTGTGCGCGATTGACAAAGGCCTTAGGATCATCCCCATCTTCAGAATCAGATACGACTGGGACTGATTTCACTGGAAGTTCAATCTCTTTTTGCAGTATAGGGTTGGATATCTGCAAGTTTCTTAATGGAACTTTATCAGCCTTGGGAACTTTGACTTGATTGTTATGATTCTTTGGCAAAGAGTGACTTCTTTCAACCGGATTGCGTTCTTTCTCTTTAGGCTTGTCTTGTTTTAGGAATGACGCTATACGGTTCAAGGATATACCTTCTTTGACTTTCTTCGGTTCCTCGGGAAGGGGTTTTTGTGGTACTCCAGCTGAATGCATGCTTAGAGGTCTTTTGGGAAAGTCTGGGGACATAGGAACTGTTGGTGCTGCTCTTACAGGTCCTAAGGTCTTTGACCCTTGTAGAGGAGATATTAGTTCTTTAGCAGTGCAAGTAGAAGCTTCTAAAATGGGACTGGATATCACAGGTCTTGGTGGAGGATTGGCAGTAGTTGGAACCTCTTCAGTCTTATCATTATTCATTAAAGCCTTGATCTTATTCTGAACTGTACTGTTAGTGCGTTTTACTGAAGGACTTGATTTCGGGCTGGTTTTAGCGGTTGTCGGAACCACTGGGAGCGGGGGAGCACTTCGCAAAACCGGTTTCAAAACCCCTTGGTTCACAATACTTTGACTATTACTGCCGCTTCGATGTACAGGGGTAATTTTGGCACTTTTGTTTATAGAATCAGCTACACTTTTAACTGGTTTGGGAGCTATGGGGACCTCGGTTTCGTCTTTTTCCGTGGGAGCATTTTTTTCTATAGGAGTAAGAGAGAAACCTTTGAAATTGCCAAAGAAGTTGACAGAAGGGTTAATATTCCCTGGTGGACTTCTGTCCGAGTCACTTCTGAGTAAACTGGAGCTCATATCATCAGGGTTGGATAGAGTATGGACGTTGACGGGTTGAGAATTATTTTGATTACTATTTTGGAAGTTGGCAGCGAATTTGCTGGCGCTGCGCGAGAGCCGATGTTGTAAGCTTGCTTTCTTCGGTGATGGGGCCCTGTGGACGTGAGAAAGTGGTTAGGAAATTGTTTTAAAGTTGTCCCTTTTAGTTTTTTATGTCATGCTTATCATGCAAGAATCCACATGCAAGTTTAAGAGACTCAGGTAATTTAACCCTTTTTAAGAATTATCCGCATTGAATTGAATTAAAATACTTTTTATTTAGGGCGATTTCAAAGTAAGTATACTGTCTTCCAGTAGTTAACGAGTTCAATAGACGTTGCTTGCTAACTATACGTTGATATATCGTACCGAAAATTTCGATAATTTCTTCATACAAAAGTAGTCTCAAAGCATCGGAAATAAGGTCTATAATGGAATAAGTGTAGAGCGGTCACCAGTGTCTGCTTCATTGGGGATTGAACAGTTAATAAGAAAAATAATTAGAAAGTAAACCGGTAGGTACTTTACTACTCAAATTCACTATCCTATATCAAAAACTCGCCTTGATATTAAAATTAAGCTAAAATACAGACCCCAGCATATAAGATGCTAGCGTCTCCTAAATCTGTCTTCGTTATATTACTAGTTCTATTATAAAATCAATAACGTATTCAATGTTCTACAAATGTAAATCGTATCTTTAAATGGATTGTAGCCATCAAAAAAAAAAACAATCAGCCGAACATCTCCCCTTTTTTGAAGTAGGTAAATATGCAAGCGTCCCCAGTTGTAGATTTAGAAAATGCTGATGCAACATGCGATTAATGCCTTCACCTTTACACAGATACTGAAATGCTACCCAAGTTTAAGTTGGACATAAAAAATTTAGATGGAAATTTATTAATTGGACTTGGAATTTTATAAAGTATTATTATTATTCGACAGAATTGAGTAGCATTCGAATATTTGGACAATAATCATGCAAAACTATACTATACTTATGAAATACCGCCATGCAATGTTATTACAAGCAAAACGAACACAAGACACTCACCATAATGCAGACACACCCAAAGATTACCAGAACAACGTAAGTAGTAACACTTTTATCCAAATAGCATTCTTATTACATGATGAACAAGACCTATTTTTCTGTAGCAAGTGTTACCACAACGCTGTCGACTGTTAGTATTGCCAGGTTTAAAAATTATTATTATTAAGGGTTGCCAGTAAAAAAATTAAGATTTTGAAATACTTTATAGGTGAGTATTTTATAGTTTATTTTTAAACCTGGCTATACTTAATGTAATGAGAGAAAGAGAAAAAAGAATCAAACAAGCAACTAATAGAAAGAAATAAAAGAGTATTTAATTAATCAGTGCATTATTCTAACTACAGTTAAATATATCTAATTACTAACAGTCACTTTCAATAATCTATTTATCTGTATATTTGGTTAATAGACATAAAATCGATACTGATTAAGGCTTTTTTTATATAGAGGTAGATATTAAAGAATTTGAGGATTGTGGGGTTTCAGGGACTGGGGAGACTGGGGAGGGGAGGGGTACAGGGGGGGGTGTAATTGGAAGCTGTTAAAGTTGAAGAGTTTATTTATTTAGTTGAACGCGCTAATCTCCGAAACGACTAATTCGAATCGAGCAATTCTTTTTTGTATTGGATAATCGATTTATCAATGAAAGCTTACAGGCCATATAACGTTCCGCTATGATTAAGAGTAATAGCGGGCGAAACTGAGCAGGAGTGGTTAATTCGACATAAGGTTAATTCTACTACAGATACATAGATTATTTGAAACTGGCTGCTATTATACTAAACTATTAAAGAAAATTAAGAAATAATTAGTTAAATTTATTTACACATTTAAAAAAAATGGGAGTATTATGGCATTAAAACACCATCGGGCCTCCGGCATAATCAATCTATTCATCTATCCGCTAAGGCCGTCGTGGTATAAAAAGCGTAATATTACACATTTTTTTGTAAAGGAGAATCATTATTGTAATTTGTGAGTAATTTAAAGTTAAATCTTAAATTAGTAAATATTAATTTCATTTAAGTAATTTCGATTGGCCGATAATATCACAGTTTATAAGATAAATAATAAAACAGGGTGGATAACTACATATTGTTAACCTTATGTTCTATAGATAAAAAAGTCTCATTATCATCAACAGCCTATAAGTGGCCACTGCTGAGTAAAGCCTCTTCTCACACGGAGAGGTTTGAGCATTATCACCACGCTTGCCCAATGCGGGTTTCCTCACGATGTTTTCCTTGCATGCAATTACAGTATCAAAAAACCGATGTAATATTATTAAACTGTATAAATTTGAATTTTTTGAAAACAATGCAATAGATAAGGTATGATTTTATCCACCCTGTTTTTTCATGGTTATTAACCCACTAATGATATGAATGCTACCATGCATCTTTAACAAGGCAAGTTCAAAATGTAACTTCATAGAATTTTTATCACTTAATCTAAAATAGAACATACAAAATAACACTCTATGATGTGCAAATAAGATCTAAAATAAATCGTTTTAGCCTCTGTCAATAGGAACCGTTTTTCCTTTGAACAATTACACTTTCATTTATTATTTCGATGAAATAATTTACTTTTTCTTTGTGAAAAAATCATAATGCGATTTAACCAGTTTTTTGATTAGTAATTATTACTTTTGATATTTATTTGTGAAACTAGTATCTTTTGTATAGACATGTTTTTATTTAATACTAATTGTCTGTATCAATTTGATCAAAAGCTCAGTCATATATTTTATGTATAAGTTAGTTCAATATTAACAAAGTTATTAAACCAAAATAATGAATGAATTTGTTATTGTTTTAGAGTATTTTAATTTAAGTAGGTTTAAGTTGAGTATCATGCCCATTGGAATACAAAGACACACAATGTTTATAGGCTCAGAAAATTTTTCGACAAGAAAGAGATAGAGCTAAGAGACGAAATATTTAAAAAGAGACAACAATAGATAACTTAATCGCTTCATATCTTTCTGGAAATCATTTTTCTGTGACTATGGACCGAAATCAATAACTGATCTAATCCAAGATCAATCTGTTTCTGAAGGAATCTCCATACAACTAATCTTGTACATTTATAAAAGAAAGTCGTGTTAGTTACACTATTTATAACTCAAGAATAAATCGATTTGGATGAAAATTGGTGGGGAGGTAGCTTAGAACCAGGAAACGGACATAGGATACTTTTTATCAGATACATTTCTTTTTTTACTTTTTACCGAAACTTCAGAAAAAAAGGGAAAACGGTAAAAAAGGATTGCATGTACGAAGTCGCGGGCAGTAGCTAATGTCAAATATTTACAGACTTTTGAAGGAGATCGATTTTAGAGATTAGTTTTATTTCGTTTCTGTCAAAAACAGAGATCGACTGAGAGATATTTGGATTAAAATCGTTACTAAATCCGGTCTACTGAAAATTTTTGGTTACTTCTTCCATTTGTGCAAAGTTTTAACATTAACATACAAATCAGTACCAGTACTGTTATCGTGCAATCTACCAACAGGATGCATTCTATGTTGACTATTCACTACCATCTCATTAGTCGTCGAAGCTAAACCTTGGTTTATTATAACGACGTTAGGTTTATTATCGTTTGCGCAGACATTGGGTTTCGGAGCCACAATTGGCTTATGTGTTTTAATATCGCTATTACTAGCAATTTTAATATCGTCCTTATTAATTTTTTTCACCGGTTTTTTCAAAGGCACTTTAGTCAGAACTTTTTCTGGTATAACCGGTAACTTTTGGGTAGTTTTGAGTTCTTCTAAATTGGAATAAATCGGTGTTTCTTGTTGAGGGGGATCCGTACATATATTTGAGATCGAATGAACACTATCATTACGTTTAAAGCTTAGTAAATTTCTTAGAGAAGATGTGCTATCTTGGAATTTCGCGAATCTGGTAGCGAACAGTCGTTTGGGTTTGGTATACCCGTCACAGATGTTGTTTACGTACGATTTACGAGGTTTCTTCCACCAGAGGAGCACGTTGTGCTTGGAGTAGTAGATGAGGAAGAGCACCAGTAGTATGCCGGGGATGATGCCCAGGAATATCACGTACATCGCCACCATGAAGTTGCGTTGGACTGTAAGAGAAATTATTCATGAGAATCGTTTGCGCAAAGGAATTTAGGTTTAGCGCAAGTATTGTAGATTAATTTATTGACTAAATTCTATTCTTATGTTAGACGAATTTGAAAAGCTTATCTTTCAAAATTGTCTTTATATAATCAACCATCGGACAAAAAATGTCTTGCAGCATGATTAGACAAAACAAATTGTCTCTGGTCAGAAATCTATCAAGAAGATTCTTATAATACTTACTTGTAGGATCTGTAGCAGGGCCAGAGTCCGAGGAGCCGCCAGGGCCAGGCAGAGCACATAATGGAGGGGCGAAGCCCGCTTCACAGTGACAATGTCCTGCGAAGAAGTAAAGTCATAAATAAAAATAAATAGTTGTATCGGAATGGAACATTTCTAGTGTTTATTGCAAATACCAGTTTCAATTAATGACAGTTTCCAGTTCATTTCTTTTTAATAAGACTATTTAATCTACAAACACGTTGATTATTAAGCATTCGTTACTTTCTAACAAACCATTGCACAGTATACTTTGCGCAAATTAGCGCAAATACCAAAAGAGTTTGCGCAAACGGTACAAACATTAGAAAACTTGTATTTCGAGTTCTTACCTTCAGAATTGCAGATGCCATGTCCTGAACAGTTGGACGGACAGACAGATGACTCGGCTGTCGCTATGCGGTCTCTTACTGCCGCTACTGGTACGCAACGTTGGTTCAAACACATCTGTATAGAAATAATAAATTGTGTTAGCAATTAGTAAGTTAAGTTGAGCCATGTGGCTAATGTATTGCCACATAAATTATAGTTAATATTTTACCATTTCATCGCCGCATTTGGCACCATCGGGCACCAAACCAGGATCAACATCGCTGAGACCCAAATCTATGATAGCTGTGCGACACGGGATGATTGTTCCTGCAAATACACAATAAAATTAATATGTTATCAACTAATCAATACTTTTTGAGATAAAATAATATTTCCCTGCGCTAACCCTAGCCCAATTGGATCGAAGGGGGATGTATCTTCATACGCAATAAGCAATAATCACTACAAATGGCGTTTGGTGACAATTTCACCTGATGGTAAGCGATGATGCGACCTACAATGGAGCACGTCTGCCCATAAGCAACCTATACATATTTTTTCTTAAAGGGTGAAAATCATTGAATGGCTTCTCCCGCCTGGGTGAGGCGGGAGGGAGTGTCAGACTCTGACTGACTAAAAACCACCCCGTTCTTTCTCCTGCACTTCGAGCCGGAGCTCCAGTAACCCGTTAGATTCTCCGCGACAACCTATTACATATTACACGGGCCTTGAAGACATCCAGGTTATACCCTTCAGGAACATAGACCCTTTAACCTCTGAGCCAGGACCACTCCTATATTGATATTGTTTTACCATACACTGTATAAATCATGGGCTTAATAAATCTATGATTACACATATCATACCATTATTATTAATAAACACGGCGGACAATAACGCGACGGACTCCATCCCAAACTCGAGTCGTTCATTGAGATGTCTACACTGTAAGGTTCCACACATGGCGTCGCGCGGACTGCAGGGGAGGTAGCGTTGGTTTAATCGGTCGTAGCCGCAGTTACCGCTCCTGGAGAAAAAGGAGTTTTAGTTAATTTTTTTCATGGGCAAATGATCAAAGGCATTATCTTGTGGTAAGCAACCGGCACCGCCCAAGGACATCTGTAGTAACAGAGCAGTTACAAGCTTTTGGGAGGAGCAAATTAGACCTCTGGTATCTTCAAACATAACGCTTGGGTTGTTTCGCGTAATTTTTTGCCAGGCCGTAGTATCCAGTGGAGCCAGCCCATTGATAATGAAGATTGACTCACATTGACCTGGTCAGAGTTTTATTTCCAGCACATTTTATCCTTTAAAGCTGTGCTCAAATCAAATGTGAAATATATTTTTCACTATTTATGACAATCAATGTTATAATGGGTAGCGAGTCTACTACGTACAAAAACAACTCTAGATGTAAATGTAATACTAACTTGTTTCCTTTAACATTTGTGCTGGTATAGCATTTGTCGTGAGAACTTTCACCAGTAGTACCCCACAGTAGGCGACACTGATCAGTGTGGGATCGACACGAACCACGAACACAGTAGGCTTTCTAGAAACACAGAAAATTACAATTATTAAAACTGGAGCAAAAAACGTTTGCGCAGTTAGCGCAAGTTTTGCGCAACTGTTGCGCTAAAGTCAGACGTATTATTTATTTGTTTTCGGCTTATTTGCTACACGATAGAACACTTTGCAACTAACTTAACTAGAGGATAGGCAATAGACGTGCATTTTATTGCATGCAAAAAGTGATCATTTTAGATATAGACTTTGTAAAACACATGTTAAAAAAAAGTCAAAATCATTTATTTCAATTAGACCAGAAAGGGCTTTTGAACTTCAACCAAAAAATTTAAAGTAAAGATATTTGCTCATTCCAAGGAGTAGATTCCTATGGAGAAGAACGAGCAAGAAACTCCATAGAAACTTCTTGTTTAAGGGAGTTACAGTAGTTACAATTAACTTTTTGTACGTCTTAGTGACAAGTGTAAAACAAAATATTTGTATATACCTCTCCATCCTTCCCGCAGGGCGTGGTGTCCATCTTGAATACGTCGTCGGGGCAGTACTCTGAGTACCCAGTGCAATACTCGGGCAGGTCACACTCGCGGTCTGCCGACCTACAAACTGTGCCTGCTGACTTTGGACGACATGTCTGGGAAAAAGATGTTTTTATTATTAGAAAACGTATTTTTTTTCATAATATAAGCCGGTAAACGAGCAGACGGATCACCTGATGGTAAGCAATCGGTGTCGCCCCTTTACACCTGGAACACCAGTGGCGTTACAAGTGCGTTACCGGCCTTTTGGGGATTAGGAGTTTGAGGATCGTTGGGTCCATATAATATTATAATTGGGTCTCCGGTAATTGAATTAACATGATTTTTGTTAAACATAGTACCATTTTAGACCTTTTTTGACAACTTTTTGAAACAATGAAGACTAGCAGATGAAGGCTGACTTTTCACCAACAAGTTTTAATTGGATTTAGATTTAATTTAATTTTAGTCTTAAAGATTACTTTCATACAGATTTTCTTCAATAAAAGGTATTTGACAAGTTGAGTATCTAGATATCGCTTCAATTTATGCCATCTATCGGCTAAAATTAAGAACACCGAAACTTAGATCGATCGGGTGTTAACTAAACTACTACTAACTAAACTTATGTCGGAATACTGAAACGCTACTCAATTTTAAGTCGTGCTTAAGTATAGTTCTATCTCTACAAATTCTTTGTAAAATGACAGAGATGGCACGATATTTGAGCACGACTTAAAATTGAGTAACGTTTCAGTATTCCGGCATTAGTGGGTTATAACACAGAAATTGATCGATTTTAATTGTTTTCATGTAATAAGCCGGTAATCGAGTCTAGAGAGAGCGTTGAGCCTCCAGGCACATTCAAAACGTTCTTAATTTCGCAGTTAGCATTTTAATTCGATACCATACCTGCAAATCGCAGCACATCCCAGCCCCACAGGTGGCGTTGGACCTCAGCATACAAGTGCTGGGGTCGCAGCAAGCGTGGCAAGGATTGTACGCGCGCGGGTCCGACGTACTGCCACAGTCGCACTGCTCGCCCGGCTCCGTGAAACCATTGCCGCACGTCGGCGAGTCGAATAAACGTTTTGGTTTGTTTCTGTGACAATTTCAACCATCAATGTTATATACAGAAAGTAGAATAAAGTGAAATATCCTTCAATAGATTTTAGACCTTAATATAAGACTTCAAAGTTGGAAATCGTTTAATATAAGAGATTTTTGTGAGTATGTGCTATTCGAATAGATTATTTTCTTCACACTTGTTATTTCTAAAATTAAATAGGATATAACATAACACAATTACTTTGAAATGGACAAAAGAACCTCATTAAACACATTACTAATTGAGGCAGAGTAGATAGTAATAGAAAACTAACAAGTGACGTGGTCTAATACAATATAAGAATAAAATAAAAACTATTTTGATTGGACCTTAACTTAAGATAAAAAATACATACATAACTTCACGCCTGTCTCCAATGGGTAGGCAGAGACTATGCAACGCCAATTACTACTATTCCTACATACCTCTTTCGCATCATCAACAGTCATCAGTCTTTTCATGCATGCTCGTTGGTTAAGGGTACTTTTAATTTAGCCCTTAGAAAGAATTAGAAAAATATTTCATGGACCCTACTAACTTAAACAAAACTCCATATTAAAAAAAAAGTATTTTCAAAACTCACCTCAAACAGTAATCCATGCCTCGTTCAAAAGCCAAAGCTATAGAGCTCAAACTGCAAGACGACCAATGTATCGGCGTCACAGACGTACTGGAAGGGCTCATTATACACTTGGCATCAGGACATTTACAGAGATCATCAGTGTCATGTTCCATGCCAAAATTATGACCCATCTCATGAGCTATGGTGGTGGCTACGAGGCCGATAACTTCTGAATGATTCGTCGACACTCCTCCAGAAAATTCATACGTACATATCGGCCCTTTTAATGCTTTGCCGACTACACCGTCGTTGAATTTTTGACGACTGAAATAGGCATGTGGAATTAATTTGTGTGTATAAAATTTATACGTAAGCGGGTGGTTGGGTGACGGACTGATGGATAGACAACATATTGAAAATTATTAAATCTAAAATAGAAAAATATCTATATTGAAATCTGTTTTCTTTTTTTTAAAACGTTGCCCCACACTATAATATTCAAATAAAATTCTACAGTAATATATTTTTGTAGTAAAATCGAAAGCAATAGATAATATGATACGATATTTAATTTTTTATAATATAAGTAACAAATTATTATTGATTATTTTAGTAATTATAACTGCTAGTAAGTATTGCTAAATTATATTAGGTACATGCAAATAAAAAAATGGTATCTACTCTTTTCCAACTTAACTTTTAAAAAGGTTACAAAGCTTAGATAGCAAAGATTTTTTGGTTTTTCATGGTATAAGCCGGTAAACGGGCAGACGGATCACCTGATGGTAAGCAATCTGCGTCGCCCATGGACGCTTGGAACACCAAAAGCGTTGTAAGTGCGTTACCGGCCATTTGGGATTAGGAATTTTAGGATTGTTGGGGATTCAGGGATTGGGGAAGGGTGAGTGGGGGAGGGAGGTTAATTGGGTTTCGGTAACCACACTCACACGACGAAAGCGTTGTTCCGCGTCGGTTTTATATGCGGGCGTGCTGTCACTCCGATCGAGCCGGCCCATTCGTGCCGAACCATGGCTCAACACCTTCGAGGTCAAATGTATTTTATTTAAATAAAAATTACTTACGTCAATAACTGAGCATTATCATTAGGTATGTCCCTCACAAGCACGGACTTCCGATACCCAAGGAAGTTGTTAAGAGTCCTGTCTCCATTCTCTTCTAGATGTATCTCGTCATTCTCGGTCCAGACGACTACTCCTACTAATGCTATGAACACGTTCAATGGCGTGTATACCTGGAAATATGATGTTAAATGTAATGTTTAGTTCGCAAAGAAAGGTAAACAAGCTTTATAATAAGCCAGGGTACAATTTCATTCTCTGTTCTATTTTCTATTACTAAGATCTTCAGAAAATTGAAACATTTTATATTTATAAAACATTTGTCTGACCAAGAGACTTTGCCTTACTAATCAGTCGATCAACAAATAACAATATGTTTTTTTATGACATAAGCCGGTAAACGAGCAGACGGATCACCTGATGGTAAGCAATCGGCGTTGCCCATGGACATCTGGAACACCAGAGGCATTACAAGTGCGTTACCGGCCTTTTGGGGATTAGGAGTTTGAGGATCGTTTGGTCTTTCTTCTAAGGGCTATTATATTGGAATATGTTCACTGCTGAATAACCTCCCTGCTTATAAGATAGGGTTTGCCCACTGTTGGTAGAAGGCGTGGAGTATCCCTTTTGGCCACCTAATTAAAGGATGCCGTTCACTCGTCCCTCGGAAACTGTTCGTAGGTTTAGGACGTCATATATTTGTTTTTTTAAGGCTTTGACTGCCAATAGATTATTGTTGGCTTAAAGTGTTATTTTGTACTCTTCTCGATAGCTTGCTTCATTTCTGAAGGTCGTGCCCCTGAAAGGCTTTCATTGCTCTCTGTGTTATTTCCCTCCATCTTGTCCTGTTTTCGGCTTCTCTCAGGGCTTTCGTAACAGAGTAATGTAATTATGTAAACTATTTAAGATATATATCAAACTTACCGAGTTAATAATATTAGCAACATCCTTCATCTGTCGGTACACGGTCTGTATGTTCTCCCCGTTCGCCTTGTACTCTCTATTGTCAGCCACCAGCACCAGTTCCACGTATCGAGACAATTTGTTCGCGTTGTACGGCCCTCTGACTTGTGTGTCGTCTGATGCGTACCTTTTGTACTGGAAAGGAGAAGATATTACTTAATTTAGATTATTTTTTTCGGTATGTCTGTACATTTATAAGTTTATGTAGATAAATAAAATATGAGCCGGCGAGATGTACGTGAGGCGGGAGGGAGTCTCAGACTCTTACTGACTAAAAACCACCCCATTCCTTCTCCTGCACGTCGAGCCGGAGCCCCGGTAACCCGTTAGGTTCTCCGCGACAATACTGTAGGTCTAAAGGAAGCTTGAGTAGGTGAGTAAGTTCGATACAAAAATATGAAGAGTAGCCTTATAACAAATAGCAATCTCTTTCAACTTACATTTAGCCTAATAGAAGAGTCATAATAAAACCAGATGACTAATGCTGCATCAAAACTAAGATCTCCAATTCTTAGTTAACGTTATAAACACTGAACTTACAACAATAAACCCTATACACATACAAATAAAAGCTATTACCATACTTCCAATTCCAACCGTTCGACCTCCTCACGGGTCATTCTGCCTGTGGTACCTTGCGACATTCATCATCTAATTACTTCATTAAGAAGTCCAATTGACCGTTAAATTAGCAACAAAGGGTCCATTGAACAATGCTAGATACATAGGAATGACTGTTCATTGGTTTAACGAGGATCAAAAGACATTGCATTACTTATACACATGATGCCAATAATAAAGTTCTCAAATATTGTATGTATAACATCACGCCTTTTATCCCCGAAGAGGTGTAAATTACGGCACTTAATGCCACTGTACAATGTAACACCCACTTTTCACTATTTATGTTATGATTTCCATGTAATAGGGGGTGAGCCTATTGCCATATACCGGGCACAATTCCAGACTCCGTACTACTATTGATATTTTTTGAAAAAGCCCAGTAATACATTGCTACCCGGGAATCGAACCCGAGACCCCTGGCCCGGTAGTCGCAATTGCGATAACTCGGTCAACGAGGCAGTGAGCAGTATTTCGCAAATATTAATACCGTTATTTCATTAAATTACAGTATTTTACTTAAACAATATGATATATGTATTAGTTTTGTAGAATGGGTCAAAATATTTAAATAAAAAAATGAAGTTTAAATGTTACAATTTAAAGTTTTCAGCCTATGTTAAAAATGTAATATAAAATCCCGCTTAATATTTTTCGAACGATTAACTTTCAGTTATCAAAATTAATCTCAAAAATTCAATAATATTTTTCTCATCTCGATCATCAAACCATAGAATAGACAATTATATTATCGGACTCAGAAATGGCAGCAATTCGACACCAAGACAGAACATGAAAAGTGTCCAAGGTCTACTTACTCGACTAACCCTGCTTCTCTGCCGATCCTGTTCACTGGTATACTTCTTGAATAGATGTGGATCGTAGCTTGCGTTCTGTGTGACGCCACCGACGTAGCCACAATGGTAGTTGGTGTTTAAGTCCCCATGGTCGTAGATGTAGTGGTTCGATTGTATGCTTGGTCCTGGCGGATAGTAAATATGTCGTATTTAATTTAATACAAGTGAATTTATTTCTGCAAACAGGCTACAGGGTAGCACTTTTACACGTCATGTTATGAGTTTAGTAATAGAGAATGACTGGAAAGACCACATGACCTCATACCAGGTGCTAATCCAGACTGAGTGCTACAAAAAGAAATACAGCTTAACATGGGAATTCAAACGACACCCATTTCATAGAACGCCTTTACAACCACTCTACAAATGCAACAGTGAAAAGTTCTTTGTGCTCCAGAAAATGGACCTGAGAAATTAAAAGATTAGGATAACTAACCATAACTTCAAGGTTACATACCTTCAGCTGGTTCAATGTATCTCATCCGTTCTCCATCGAACACGATGCCTCGGACGCCATGACAGGTGGACACGGCCACCCATGATCCAGGCTTGCCTCGTACCGTGCCCGAGTACTGACATAAGTCTATATCCTGAAAATATTAAAAAAAAATATTAGCGCGTATGCATGAAGTTATCAGAGGACCGCAGGACCTCCAGGGGTTCTGAGGGGAGTGAATAGGTTTCTTACGTGTCGGCAAGACGCATGTAATGCCCGAAGTGTTGCAAGCATACATAGACCATGGTAACCGGTTACCATCAGGTGGGCCGTGTGCATTTTTGCCACCGTAGTGGTATAAAAAAATCCATAAAAGACTGGCAAAGCACCCGTCTTTTTTTAGAAGTGTCCATTTTATCCTATTGTGAATTTATGTCATAAGTCCCTTCGGTCGGTAGTATTGAAAACAAATAAATCGTTCGCTAACTATGCACATATTATTATGCCGATAATAAGACAGTTGATGGGTTAATTCTGATATAATCTACTAGGGTAATAGGAACTGACAGTACATGAATCCGGAAGCCGGAAACTAGGCTAACAAAGTAATCCAGTTAAAGTTAATAAAATAAATAATTTGGAACACCATTAAATTAATACAACCATTCAAGCATGGCGGCAAATTAATGATATAACTTCACAGGTGACCGATTCTTGCGACAACCATGGAAAATGTATTATTTTCAAAGTGACTTCATAAACATAGCAGAAATCGGAGCATCTTCAATAAAAATTATTTGATTTTTTTTCCAACCTAGTTCAAGAACATAGTTACAAATTGTCTTGAGTCCCATGTAAGCTTATTGCCATATACCAAAATTTCAGGATCCGTGATATTCTCGAGAACTTTTCAATAACCAAAAATCCTAATAAGATAAATTCATAGTTTAATAGTGAAAAGGCTATAATTCTGCTTACCTCTTTCTTAGGTTTATGTACAACAGTCTTGCCGTTCTTCTGGTACCTAAGTACATGGTTGTCTGTGACTAGATCCAGGTTCAATCTCAGATCCAACACGTAGTCCTGACCGTCTATGGGAACCGTCACTGTCACTTCTGAATGATGTGCACCGCTCTGGAAAATGAACATGTGAATAAATAATTGCTAAAAAAATTACCAAAGGAGGTTGCTGGGGATCTGGAACCTTCCGATCGTTACACCAAATTAAGCATCTTTTAAGAAAATAAATAACTAATTTAATTACTATTATATTTTGAAGTTTCGTACAAGCATCAATAAATATGGTACATTCGTAGAACTTGCATGATTATGATTTAAAAACTACCAAAAGTCAAGTGTACCTTACTTATGTATACGCTGCGTGCTCTACCATAACCACAATGGTAATACCATAGCTCAAAAGCTACAAGGCTCATTTTAAAAAGCATGCAATTCCGCGGATCATTTCCTTTAGATAGTTTCTCCGCAAACCATCAAACAATCATGAAAGAATTACTTTAGTCACCACAAAATAATCGGCTACAACCGAGTAATTTAGGAGACCGTTAGGAAATGGCAATTTTGCCGTTGTACGGAGGTAGCTGGCAGAGAGCTTCCGTTCCGAATGGTATTCCACAGTCCTATAATCTTTTTTAACGCCATTTTACACGTACAAGTGAAGGTGACGTTACAGTCTTCCACGAAGGTAACGATTTTAACATTGAGGTTTTAGCTGACATACATATGCATAGGACTGTGTATAGGAAGTTATGAAAGACTGTTTACATTCGTCTGTTAAGCAATAAGTAAGTAAAAATGCTGATAAAGAAGACGTAGACTACCAAGCTCGTATTAAATATAGGTAATCTGATATTTAAAGCTCCGTACAAGACGTTTTGACTAAAAACCAAACCGGTGGTGAACGATTAACTCTTTGGACACAAGAATCATATAACATAACATAACGTCACGCCTTTTATCCCCGAAGGGGTAGGCAGAGGTGCACATTATACCACTGTACAATGTAACACCCACTTTTCACTATTTATGTTATGAGTCCCATGTAATAGGGGGTGAGCCTATTGCCATATACCGGGCACAATTCCAGACTCCGTGCTACTACTGAGAATTTTTTAAAAACCCAGTAATACTTTGCCCGACCCGTGAATCGAACCCGAGACACCTTGCCCGGCAGTCGCACTTGCGACCACTCGGCCAACAAGGCAGTCCTCCAAGTCCATGAATCATTAACAGGAGTTAATCAGTTCCTTGGGATTCCAGGGGCAGAGAATCAAAGTCGGATTAGAGATTATTAAGATGTAGCTGTATATTTTCTTACCGTGTCTCTCGTTGTAGATATTTCTCTTCTCGTTCTAGCATGATGTACAATAGGTTGAACTAGTCTGTGCTTATTGAAGTCTAATGCAGGCGGTTCTGAAACAAGAAGAATAGAATCATAAATACACATTCCATATTATCTTTTTGGCATTTTCTCAATCTCGGGTAGCATCGAGTGTAAATTTTGAGGAACTTCTGTCAATTCGACGCCTATAACATAGAAGAAAAACCTAGTATGGAGTCACTTTTACAGAAAGTGTTTATTGACATATTGAACTCAATCCTCAGACAAGCATCGTATCACTGAGAATAATAATTCAGAAATTAAAAGCCCTAATGACACGTACTTCATAATTGGCACTATTAGCAGTTGAAATTAGCGACATCCCCACCAAGGCAGCCAGGCAGGCATCACATACTTAATTAACCATTCAATTATTCACACATCCCGTACAACTTCTAAGATTAAAGATAGGAATAATAAGACACAGGAAACACATTCACTTTGCCAATAAATGATTCACTAGAAGAATTTTAATTTGCATACGCCATTGTGCCGTTACCGCAAAACTTCTTTGTTTTAAAACCGTGATGGAATGATTGATACGTTGATATGCAGTTTTTATTTCTAATTTATGATGTTAAGTTGTAAAAATAAGATTTATCTTGTCCGAAGTATCTTTATTTGAGTGGTCGTAATGTTTTATTTAGACGAGTTTTGCATTTATTTATGGATGTTCTTTATAAATCGTAAATCATTTTTGTATAGAATAATGTTGCTCAGCTCAAAATCGAGGAACTGTTGGATAATTTGTCTTTTAAATATTTCGAGAAAGCAGTGAAAGACAAATGCCTTAAAAAGGCGAGTCAGCTTATATAAAATGTATCAAAACAAACTGTTGATCCATTCAAGTAGATAAATAAGCTGTAATTTGAGTAAATATTTACATTTTATTCTTATAAATTTTCTTCGATACTGACGAATGCAAAAGGATTTGTTTACTAGAATACAATGAATAAAGACGACAACAATATTTATTAAAATAGAGCTAATGTTTTGATATCCAAAAGTGCTAATTCTGTTTATTTGCTAAACTGAATGTACGTGCACATTCCAGAGTATTGATTCATAAAATAACACACAACGGAACGTGATTGAAAACGATTATTAAATAATCTGCGAAAATCGGATAAAATGCTCTGCGTTTATACTTTTCACCAAAACACTTGGATTTAAACGCTTGAATGCACTAATGTGACACACAATAGAAAATACATTGTGTCTCGCGTGGATCCACGTTTAGACACAGGATGGGTTAATAGCCGATACTGCACAACATTTAATTTCTTTCTAAAACTTGGCTTATTAATTTAAAACCGTGAAAAGCAACATTAAAATGGAAGCCATCAAAACATATTCAGGTACAAAAACCGATTACCGTAACACACAGGACGAAAATTCAGTCAAACGCCTCATTAAAACCAATCGGCGTTCTATTAAAAGAACGCGACAGGTTTCCTCATCAAGCGTACAATGATGCGCCAGCGCATGCCGCATTGACCAATCATGCGACAAGACAAAATTGTAGCTAAGTCCAACGACCGGCGTTATAATATCGTCAGCCGCGGATGAATGAACACGTGTTGACAATGCTAATTTATTCGCAAAAAAGTAGCAATTCGTAAAATTAATTGTTCTGTCGATGTAATTTTTTTCGGGAGTACTTACACATAATGCAAATACCTTTTGTTTTTTGTATGTCTGTCTGTCTGGCTTTTTTGATATGTTCTACTAATGATACCGTTCGGTTTTTTTTACTGTACTCCACTCTCACTTTTGATAATGATGTATCATACCTATACACTTTTTTTAGCTTGTGGATCTGGACAGATCAGACGATATATTTTTGGATCTTGATTCATGTGGTTGATAGAATTAGGACGCGAATAAATGACACATACATAAACAACTTTAAAATATTGGTCGATGACCACTACAAACGCGATAAAGTTTGTTCAGAAGTCTAAGAAACTCTAAGACTGCCTCGTTGGCCGAGTGGTCGCAAGTGCGACTGCCGGGCAAGGGGTCTCGGGTTCGATTCCCGGGTCGGGCAAAGTATTACTGGATTTTTAAATAAAAATTCTCAGTAGTAGCACGGAGTCTGGAATTGTGCCCGGTATATGGCAATAGGCTCACCCCCTATTACATGGGACTCATAACATAAATAGTGAAAAGTGGGTGTTACGTTGTACAGTGGTGTGTATAATGTGCACCTCTGCCTACCCCTTCGGGGATAAAAGGCGTGACGTTATGTTATGTTGTTATGTTATGTCTAAGAAACTCTGTATTCAATCACTATCCTGAAAAGGAGTAAGATATAATTTGATTTACAATTTCCAAAATTTTAATATATGTGAGTATAAAAGCCAAATGTTAGTATAAAAGACATGTTCTTCCTCAACACAACTACGTAAGTACATATTCGCAAACTGCCTAAACGGCAACCAAATCGTCGCACACGCACCTCGCCTGCCATTGTACAAAGACGCATTGTTATCCACTAAAATGGTGTCAGTAGTACTCTTGAACACTCCTTTGTGCTTTGTGCTTGTATTTTATACTGTCTTTAACGTTTTTGTACAATTTCCATCAAGTAACCTTTTTTAAAGTTGTTTTATTATTTTTATTTACATTGTTTGCTAAGTAGGTTCTCACTCAGGTGTTCAAGTTTCATGGAATTTAATAAATGCATTCTACATTTAACAATGGCAAACACTGTTTTGGGACCATACAAAATTAAACCATAGGGATATTTTTCAATGAATTGAAACCTGATTAAAACTAAATAAGGGATCAGGGATCAGTATTGAACTTCAATCAGGACGCGCCGTTTGTCAGTGTTTCACTTAAATCGTGAAGCTACGCGATGATGTTACCACCCATCAAACAAAGCACACAGATAATGTAATTTAACTAAAATGATTTGCCCCAGTCAAAAAAGATCAACATCTATTGAATGAAACTGCATTCCTAAAACTACTCAACAATTAAACCAAATTATTAAACATACTTGCAGAATAATTTACAATTCCAGTTTCATTCATCAACACTACAATTGGAGCGGTCGTTTCTGTCCAAATAAAATAAAATCGACTGGCTCTCGCATTAATTAAATTATTTAGGAATGAGCGACGAGATGCGAATAACTACCGCTTGTTTGGTTGTATGGTAACCTTAAATTCTTAAAACAATTGAGCCTTGAGATCTTAATTACGATACAGATGGACCAGACGTTGGTGTCTGTACAAATAATATTGAGAGAACTTGAGACAATTGTATTTGTTATATGTTAAGTGTGGAAGAGCCATGCTTCGGCACGAATGGGCCGGCTCGACCGGAGTGATACCACGGCCTCACAGAAAACCGACGTGAAGCAACGCTTGCGCTGTGTTTCGTTGTGTGAGTGAGGTTACCGGAGGCCCAATTACCTTCCCCTTCCCCAATCTCCCCAATCCCTGAATCCCCAACGATCCTCAAACTCCTAATCCCCAAAAAGCCGGTGACGCATTTGTAACGCATCTGGTGTTCCAGGTGATGGACAAGATGGCGACGCCGATTGCTTACCATCAGGTGATCCATCTGCTCGTTTACCGGCTTATGCCATAAAAAAAAATTCGTAAAAGCATACGTCAATACACGGCTTTGTTCCTTATAGGAAAATACTATATCCATAGTAAAAGTTAAAGTCAAAATAATTTATTTAAATTAGACCAGGAAGGCACTTTTGAACGTCAACAATAAAAAATTTGAAGAAAAGGTAGTTGCTATCCATACATCATAATCATAATATCAGTCATAAGATATTCACTCCTAAACATTTATCTCCTTCAATGAAAATAAACTGTAAAGTGATGGACTGAAACACAGGTTTAAATTAACTTAGATCGGGCTTAGGAAAATTCCATTATTTGTCAGTGGACCACTGACAAATAATGGAATTTTCCGAATCACTGTCAATATACCTTTATTGATATTTTAATTTTACTATATTTTTAAGCACTGTATTGTATCTTTATTGCAATAGGAAACCCTGTTACTGTTGGCATAGTGTTCATTTTTTAATGTTTATTTCAATAAATTATTCTATTCTATTCTAATGACTTCCATTCCAGATCAGACCTCACATATAAAACTTAAGATTCGTATCAAAGAGGTACAAACAGGATAATCTTTTCTGTTCACAAGGAGGAAGGCAAGATGGTTCTAAGCTAAAAAAATTACAAGGACATTGTCTAATTAAAAGGACTATGACTACGAGTGACATCCCTTTGTGAGATGAAACAAATGTCCATGACTGAGGATTGTGATTATCATTTTCTATCAAGCAATTTACTAGGTTTCTAGATGCCATCTCCTAACTTCCTTACCAGCCAACTTCGACACAACTATATAACACCAAGAATTCTCGGTACACAATTTAACACGACTAAATATTTGAAAGGACATTATAGTCACATTCAATTAAGACCTCGTCGTCAATGTCCTAAATGGGCAAATAACTAAATATTGTGAATACCACACGCATCGCACTCCCGCCACTTTTGGGCTGGCCCAGTTAAACCGGACTATTTTTAGCCTTTCACAAAACACTTTGAAGTGCGAACATTACTTCCTAGGCTAGGCTAAAATTATTATGAATATTTAAGAGCAGAATTTGTTGAGTAATTGACCATGCTATGGTGTGATTAAACATTCTAGTCGAGTTGTTACAAGAACGACTGTAAAGCAGGAGATCTTGGGTTTAATCTTCGGAAATGCTGTTATTGTGATATTTTATCTAAATCTTTGTTTTTTCAAAAATAGGATTTTCTCCTGTATCGTGAGTGCGTTAACAAACATACAAGTTCAAATACACATGGCACCCAGACCCAGAACAACAATATGTGGATCACACAAAGAGTTGTTCCGTGCGGGAATTAAACCTGCTACATGTTGCACGGCAGCTTTGCCCAGCCACCGCGTCAACCGTGCAGTTAATACATATCGTAGTCTTATCGTCGTCTGTTTTGCAAAGAGCTCATTTTTCATCTATAGGTATTTTTTACAAGCCCGCCACAGCTTCCCAAAACCACTGCAACTCCTGTAAGCCAGAATCTACAGTAGATACAACCATGAAAACACCGGAACACTGAAGTCCGGCGCGTCTCAGGGACATGAATAACTGTCTTGGTTTCCGCAACGAAGTGAATTAGAAGATATTATAAGAGGAGAAGATAGGAAGGAGAAAATAATCATCTATAGGTAATTGATGAAAACAGTCCTAGTCTTAGGAGCTCCCGTATATACCACTCCAAACGTTCTGTCAGTACCTACGCCTCTGTTCACCACATCCTGGGAAATGCTATCGTATTTACAGTTCTAATAAATACCGTGACAAAAAAGGTCTTTGACCAAATCATGTCAAAAAAGGAACAGTACTAAATAACACAGTAAACGTACTAAATAAATTATTCCATTATTAAATTATCACGTTTCTGTTATTCCCATTAGCACCACATATTGGATGGTATTCAATATCACTACACAGTATAAAACAAAGTCGCTATCCGCCGTCTGTCTGTCCCTATGTATGCTTAGATCTTTAAAACTACGCAACGGATTTTGATGCGGTTTTTTATAATAGATAGAGTGATTCTTAAGGAAGGTTTAAATTTATAATAAATTCATATTGGACCCGTGCGAAGCCGGGGCGGGTCGCTAGTTCATACTAAAATTATAATATCGCTTTCCTTTTAAACAACTTGGGAAAACCCAGTTGACGTTTTAACCTTTTGAACGCCAGAGCAAAAACGCATGAACTTGCCCTCAACGCCAGGCCACAAATTCACCGCAAATACCTACGAAAAAAATAGGGATTCCAAAACTTCATCGATAATCAATTTTATTTTCATTTTCGTCTTTAATTTCGAAATATAATGTCCTTATAACATTGAAATTTAATTCAACATTACATTTCTTCCTATTAAAGTAATAGTTATACACTATTTACAGACTTGTATAATACCGTAATAACAGATATGAGACTACAATATATTTAAATATAATAACTGTAGGTACAACACTATTCTTGATCTGCTGTCTTCATATTGTGACCATGGCGTGGACGGCCCGCCATTTTAATAACTACTTCGCTTCCGAAATAAGGATGTGGCAACGTAATATCTCGTTTATCGATGTTCTAGTACAATATTATTTTATAATAAATGAAACACGTTTTTTAAATCAGATTTATAATTCCGAATGTAACAGGTACTTAAAAATATATGATTGAAATAGGTTAAGAAGGTAAATAAAAACTATGAAAAAATAGAAAATTTTAATAAAATGTTATACAGTATGTACTATGTATACATGTTTTTAAATATTAAGTTCTATAAACCTGGCATAAAAAGTAACAAATTAAAACAATTAACGATTATATATAATTATCACAACTACCAATCAGTCTTATACTTATAAATCTTTTGAATAATAGAACAAAATTATACAAAATCTGCATTGTATTATCTTATCATCTAATAGCTCACTATTAGATGTATGGCTTACCATATGTAAATAAAATCTAATAAAATCCTTCTATATGCGAAGAAGTTCTTCCGTAGTCATTAAATTCCCACTCATTATAATAGTCACTTAATATAAATCTTGAACTCGATATCACAAGTAAATTAATCATAAATATTATTCATTCACTTCACTAATTTCTGGTCGCCGCGCTTGTGACGTCACGATATTGTCGTCTAGTCGTGACCATGGCGTACAGGGTACTGATAATTCGGGTTGCGTTAGGGATGCGCTTGAGTTGGGATTAGTGAATATCGAAATTCGACCCAACCAAATTTTATTTTTGACTATGTAGCTTATTGAATGATTTTTAAGACTGGTTTTATAAAATTAATGCTGCTTTATCCTAGTACCAAATTATAACTAAAATAATATGTTCCAGAGGAAAGTTTCGAATCGATCTTTGATTTGAAATAATGATATTATCCAACATGCGCTACATCACTAGCGGTCACGCAGTTATGACTGGCGTGTGAGGACATTCTTTTTTCAGAGTTTATTTCTTTCTTTTTAACGTAAAATTTCTCAATATTTATAATGCAATTTAATTAGTTTTATGGAAATTAATAAATTTTGGACCTTCTATTTTACAGGTATATAAATAAATAGGCATTAAAGTAATGTTTAAATAGTTTATTTCGTGTTTTAATGTACCGCTGTTTTTGTCACATATTTGTGTCGTTGGCGCTCAGGGACAGTTTTCGCTTGTCACGTATTTGTGACCCTGGCGCTCAAAAGGTTAAAATAGCATTTACCTAATATTACGTACGGCATATGTCATTATTGTTATTAGTTATGTATATGCGAATTTTAAACAGGCATATAGGTAATTTGCGTCACGAGTGCAATGAATACAACAATCTATATATATTTGTGCTTAATTTATTTAATTTAGATTCAGCATTTCTGAGGGATTGAGTTACAAAC